CCCTCTTTTTTTTTTTTAAGAGAGATTTTTTTTTTTGCTTGGGGCCAGCAGGTGGAGTGGTAGTTGGGGCACTGGACTCCCACATGGCCGACTGTGGTTCAAGTCCTGGAACTGGTAGATTCCTTTCTCAATTTCCCTTTTTGTCTTCTGTGTCTCTTTTAGATCAAATTAAAATAATAATCTTAAATAAAATTAAATAATTTAAAAAGAGTGAGAGAGAGAGATTTTTGTGCTATAGGGCACATGCGCTCGCCAGGTAGAGTAAGTGAAAAGTCACCCCTGGGGGTATGATCACACCATAATCCCTTCTCCTCCATTCTCCTTTTGGGATTTTGGGCATGTACACACACACCTGGTGTGAGTTTTAAGTCACTAGGTCTTGGACCTGAACCATGGTCACCCATGTGAGAATCTCATGATGTAACTGTTACATCATCTGTTGGTCCCCTAGATAATATTCTTTCTAAAACATCTTCTGATTTAAGTAAAATGGCTGCTATCTACCTTGTAGATGTCAACTGAACTCCAGTGTATACACAGTATTTCAACATCAGTTATATTCCATCTACTGTATTGTTCTTCAATGGGCAGCAAATGAAAGAGGATTATGGGGATCAGCAGATGGCATAATAGTCACCTCACAGTACTCCCACATAGTCAACCGCAGTTCAAGTCCTGCACCTGGTGGCTTAAAACTCAGGCTGGGTATATGTTCTCCTCTTCCATCTCTGTTTCATATGCTAGTAAATAAAAGCTGGAGGAGGTCGCTATGTTCAAATCTTACTGCTCTGATTTTTTTTTCTAAACTATATCCAGATGTGAGTCCCACTTTCTTGAGAATCTTTCATAGAAACTCATGAGCTAATTTTCCTGTTATTTGTTGACTTACATATTATTTTCAGAAAGGATGTAAGGCATTTTACAATACAAATAGGCCAAGGGGAAAAAAAAGTTTTTATACAGAAGGAACAGCAAATAAATATACCCCAAATCTTGGGCTATATGAATTATTATAATTACTATAATTAAGCTTAACCATGAACTTCCTGGAAACAAGGCAAAAAGTAAATATGATAGTTTTCATAGGTCACTCATTGTCCGATAGCAAAATCTACCACATCTTCAGGAAACACCAACTTTTTTCCTTTACATTGAAACAACTGTGTCTGTGTGCGTTTGTGTGTATGTAGGAGTGTGTGTGTATATGGAATAATGTATCAATCTAAGAGAAACTGTCTTTAATGGTGGTTTTTCAGATTATAAAAAGATATTTATATGGCTCTTTCTTATGCAGTTTTTCAAGTAAAGTTAAAAAGTATATAGTATGTTTCTGGTGATTTTCTATTTAACTTAATTCAAATGTAGTACTCTGAATATCCAAAGGAATGACTGGAAACACGGCCTGCAAACTGTTCTCTAGGGGTCAAGTCTCTAAGTTCTTAGAAAAAGACAGTTCAAAGTTGAATTTTAGAGTTTATTTCCCTTCCCCCCTATACCAGATGGCAGGTGAAAAAACTGCAAAGCAGGATACTAAGGAGAAGAAACCTGAACCCAAGAAGGCTGATGCCATTGGCAAGGTTAAAAAGGGTGACCACAAGGCTAAAAAGCCCAAGAAGGGGGAAGCCCCACTGCAGCTGAAACCCGTCCTAGTCCGGGGCGTTGGCAGAAACTCCTGGTCTGCCATGTATTCCAGGAAGGCCATGCACAAAACGAAATACTCGGCTACTAACTAAATCCAGGATTGAAAAGAAAAAGGAGAAGATTCCTAGGACTGTCACAAAACCAGTTGCTGAAGACAAGAATGGTGGTACCCAGGTGGTTAAACTGCACGAAATGCCTAGGTATTATCCTACTGAAGATGTGTCTTGAAAGCTGTTGAACCATGGCAAAAACCCCTTTAGTCAGCATATGAGAAAGCTCCGAGCTAGCATCACTCCTGGAACCATTCTGATCATCCTCACTAGACAGCACAGAGGCAAGAGAGTGAGTTATTTTCCTGAAGCAGCTGAGCAGTGGTTGCTACTTGTAATTGGACCGCTGGCTCTCAATCAAGTTCCACTGCGTAGAACATACCAGAAATTTGTCATTGTCACCTCCACGAAAATTGGTATTAGCAAAGTAAAAATCCCAAAGCACCTTACCGATGCTCACTTCAAGAAAAAAAACTATGAAAGCCCAGACACCAGGAAGGTGAGATCCTCGACACAGAGAAGGAGAAATACGAATTTCAGAGTAGCGCAAGGCTGATCAGAAAGCTGTGGACTCGTAAATTTTATCAAAAACTATAGCTGTTCCTCAGCTCCAAGGCTACCTGCCATCTGTGTTTGCCCTTACAAATGGAGTTTATCCTCACAAGTTGGTGTTCTAAATTTTTTGCTAAGAACCTAAATAACTGATCATGTTAAAAAAAAAAGTTGAGTTTTAAATTTCCCTTTGCAGCTACATAACTGCATGTTCATATACTTCTTTTTTTTTAAAGAATTATTTTTATTTTTAACTTTATTTATTAATTTGTTTATTTCAATTTGACCAGAGAGGGACAGAGGGAGAGAGAGAGAAAGCAAGCCGCCAGGT